GGGGCTCTCGTTGTCCAGGATGATAGTGTAGGGAATGCCTAACTCGTCGTAACTTTAAATAAAGCAAATATATTTTTCATTTCTTAAATTCATTTGTAAATCAATTGTAAACTCACTGCTCGATTGAAACCAATTTGTTTGGCGTAAACGGCAGCACAGGTATGTCAAAGAGTCTCAGCGATTGTATTAAATGATTGGTTAAATCCATTAAAGCCTCGTTTATTATAACATTATCTCTGAAAGCGATGCCTACTTTGAACGGCGCTAATGATGAGTGAAATTTCATTTTCTACACACAAATAATTGCAATTAAAATAACATTTGAATGAATAACTTTTAATTTAATTATAGATTCGTGACATACTTTTACGGATTTGCCATTTGTATAGACTTTTGTAGTGAAGGCATCCCTGAGAATGGCGACCAAAGAGTTGTCTAAATCTATATTACAAAGGATGACATCGCAATCGGTTAATCCCAACCGTGTCTTATCCGGTGATGTATAACAGATGCGTTCAATTGTCTCTAATTGTAAATTCATATCATCGGTCTTGTNTCCGGTGATGTATAACAGATGCGTTCAATTGTCTCTAATTGTAAATTCATATCATCGGTCTTGTAATGAACGCCACATTTTTGGCCACTATTTTCATCCAATTGGAAACAAAACTTGGATTTTAACGGATATATCGATAACTGTTGAAAGTTGACACAATTTAAGCAGAGTTATAAACTTTGTTTTAATTATACATATAATTAAGAGGCTACTTCTTAACAAGGCATACATTTCTGAACCATTGATAATGACTTCCCTGTAGCTTTTGAAACCAATACAGACTTTCATGTTCTCGACTTAAAAATGCAAAATTGAGACAATCTTTGCTTTTTGATTCACTAGTGTTTGGCAATCAAATGTCAATTTAATGAAAACTTATAGCATAAGTGACAACAATTTAAACTCACAAAAAATTATGTGATTTCTTGTCTCTAATGCTAATAAAACGCTGAATAATACCAAAAGATTGAGTGATGCCTTCACTCCAATCCCGATAATAATTACTATAATTATCTAAAATGGCTATAAATAAAGCAAACAATTAGTACAGCAATTGATTTGATTAGCAAATGACACATAAAAGAGACTTTAATTTACATTTCAGTTGTGACTGGTTTTGGTTGTCATGAATGGGTTCCGAGTATGTGATCACTGGAGTGACAAACACCTCAACTGATGGTATCCTTTGGATACTTTTAATCCTATAAAACATGAGATATTTATAAATGAAATCTTAATGACTATGAAAGCAAATGTCTTAACCATTCAAAAGCGATATTTTGTTTGATTTGTTGCGTTAACGGCGTTAAGACATTTGATCCGTTGGTTTGCTTCAGAAAACAGTATTTCTTGAGCGACAAGAGATTCTTGAGTGACATTTAAATGATACACGATATGGTTGACAGATAGTTGGCATAAATTGTCCAGCATAATCAACTGTGATTATAATACCAAAAACAGCAATGTAATTTTCAAACCAATTGTCAACAGTGTGTGGGTCACGTGTTTTACACATGTTTTTACGCATACAATACACTGACATTTCATTCATGAAAATGTTCAAAATTATTAGTTTTTTAAAATTAATTTATTAAATTATTTATTTATAATGATTGTCATGTCATAATTGTAATAGTAATTAAAATTTTATTGGCATTAAAAAATTAACTACAATCATATTAGGGGATAATACACATTGAATGATTGGGTAACAGATTTATTAGATAGGTACACATTTACCGGTACATTTTTGTTTCATAATTAATACAAATATTTAAAAAATTGTTTGGAAATGAATACTTATTTTTGGTCTATAATTAATATCGTAATCAAAATCAATGTTTATTACATTGTGTGCCAAATTACAATATGGTTTATGATATGATCATCACATTCAAGACAAACATTAA